AGATTAACGCTGACAGCACTAGTGGGAACACAACGAATATGACTGCACATTTACTCCGACAGCATCCTAGTACAAAGACAAGTGGAAGCAGACAAAAACAACAAGCACGCATGCTACAAACTTTACCAGAGTCATTTAGACAGCCGTTAGCACATGATTCTCCTTATGGGGACCTGATATGTTTAATATGCTGCTACAATATGCCCCAGAAGAAGCGTATAGTATAGCTTTTATTTTGGAAAGAGCCATTTCTCTGTAATAAACTCTCTTTTCCAAAGATGAGTGATTCCTCAATCAGACATATTTATTTATTTTTATTACTTTGTTGTTTCAGCAACATTAAATTTAAAAACTGTACTTTTAAGTTAAAATATATATTTATAATTTTAATAAATGACAAATTAAAAAGGCATGAACATTTTTGTATCGAAAAAATATCGAACCGTGACACCAAAGTATCGAACCGAACCGTGAATTTTGTGTATCGTTGCACCCCTAGAAACCAACCCATAACTATACACACGGTTTAGGGTCAGCTTTAAAGCCCTTGGAGTGTGTCCTAAGCTGATTATACATTTCAGTTGATCTCAGGATGTTAATCTCAAGAAAAAGCCCTGACACAGTAGAGTAAATATTGAAAGCTGAAACAAAGTTACTCTGATAACAAAGACAGGCATACAAAAGCCTATTAGAATATGATAGTATCCTTGAGATTTAGTTAAACATTTATTTTCTTGAAAGCAAAGCAAAGAAAGCTCTCCAAAGCTAGAAAACACATTACCCAGCAGTCTTTTAATTTGTACTTTGTATATACCTCTGATCACTTTACCTGCACGCGAAAGTAATTTTTCAAATTAATACAGTTTGTAATAAACGATCTAATACAAACAAACAAAAACACTTGTTGGTTTTTTTTTATTGCAAACAATCCGGGAGATCGGGTATTCTTCTTGTAAGTGTAAAGTAACAGGGAATCTACTTTATAAGCCTGGATGAAGCATGGCTCCGTTGTAATTTATACTTAGCCACATTTTAGATACTGAATACATTCTTTCAATTCATACGCGATCTACTCTTTTAATACGCGAGGGGTTACCACTGAATTTTAAATTGTGCCTCTTAATGACGATATATCCTAGCACGCGAGGTGACACAGTGCCAACTCATAAGAAAAACTAGAGAAAAACAAAGCTTATTGGCCTACTACCAGCAAGTTAAACAACATAAAAACCCGGCCACGTGAGTAAGAAGGGGGAGGGATTTTCCATTTGGGCCTTAGCCAAAATATTTTTCTTCGACGTAATTAGGCCTTTGACTCAAGACATTTCCCCAGTCGATGATCGGAAATTCAGCCAACACAGCCATAATCCACATCAATCGAAAAAGTTATCAACCCTAAGTATAACATCAAATTAAAAAAAAAAATCGCAAATGGAAATGGCTGAATCCGTGGCGAGGCCTAACTTGAAAACATTGACCACATCTGGCTAAGTTAGCTATACAGCTAACTGGCTAATGCTAGCAACATACTTCTTAGGAGACTAATAACCACAAAACAATGGAACTAAACTAAAAACGCTAACCACTCGGTAGAATATCCATTCTAACTCTTTTAATACATGGCGTTAGATTAAACACGACAAAACAGCGGAGAGAGCAGTGCTATTGGGGACAAGGTTAAAGCTAACGTAAACAGCTCGCGACGATGTGTCGCGAGAAAACCTCTAAAAACAAACGCAGATCAGATTGAAATACCAAGAGTCGTATACTTAATCTAAATTATCAAATAAACCATGAACATACCTAGTTGTCATGTTGGGCAGCAGCTGAAATCCCAACGTATCACAGAAACAATTGTTGACGCAGTTCAGTGCTTTCCCCGTGCCCCCTTCCTGGAATAATAACATTACGTCATTTCCGTAAAGGGCCACTAAGAGGAGAAATTGTGACATTATAATTAATAACTTTGTTACAAAGAATACATCGATGATAACGTTGTAGCAATGTGTAGATTCACATGACACACCTTACTTTAGTGGGATTCGTTTATGTTTCTCCCAAGATCAAAACAAAGTATCAAACAAATGATTACTATGTATTTTAAAAACAGCACCAGCAATGTAGTTATATAATAAAATATTTAGGAGTAAAATGGCAATTTTTCTTCAACAAAAAAATACTAATATTAGTTATTTACTGGCATAATTATTTACAGGACCTGAATAATTCTTCCAACACCGTGGAGCTGTGGCTTTGGTCATCTGCAAGAAAACACATGTGCCTAATCGGGCACACTTCTAGATATATATTCATAAAGAGTTAGTTTCTTTTTAATCAGAATACATAGGTTACTTCCCCCAGGCACCGTGAATAGAATTGAATTTATAAGAAATAGAATAAATGAAATACAAGATGTAATATAGTACGTGATGTGAACTGTTGGGCATTTTGTTATTTTTATTTATTATTTATTTATGTTTTAAGCATAAGCGGAAGAGAATGGACGTTTTTTTTTCTTCAGTCTTGACTCTCCCCTGTAGCTCAGTGGCAGAAACCGGTAGGCGGTACTGTGCAGATCTCTAAATTGATTGGAGGGCTCAGCCGTCATCATTGCACGTACTATTACGTCACACGTAAGGTCAAGAGGAAAGAAGTATGGCTGCTGTGTTGAGGGGGTCTCGGTATCTAGTAGGAAGGTGTTGCAAGCATGTTGACTTTGTGTTTGGTAAGTACAGTAAACTGAGACCGTGTGCGCACTGCGTAGGGCGCCTCGCGTACTTTGCAACCCAAAGTTATTCTTTGAAGGATCTTCGTGGTGTGAAAACGGCATTTTTTCTTGAAATGTAGAGAGAGAAGTTTGAGTAGAAATTTCGCTGGACTGGGTTTAGCTGCTGCAGGGCATTCTGTTGACGATTAACTGCTTAAGGATATTTTTTTGTTAAAGATTACACCCTCCTTGACGCCGAGTTGTCTACCAGAGCTACACACTACTCATTATTTCAAAACGGTCCAGGACAAAAATTGTCATCGTTTGGTCTCACGTCTTACCTTGTCTTGCCTTTTTATCCAAGGCACATTACGCAATATTACCACTACACACTGTAGACATAGACATGGTCTGCATCTTTATAACATCTTACAGTTGTTTAGAGAAACTGATGAGGGGGGAGAAATGTAAATATTTGAAAAAAAAAATGCTGTCTTTTGGATAGCATAGAGATATATTATTCAGAATATGAATAAACAAAACGCAGTGATTAAAATTCCCCCAGACAGGCATGTGTTGTATCTGTTTTTAATGTTAATACCAAGGCACAACAATGGTATTTATTCAACACGTAACTTTTAACATTGAAATAAGTTTGTGTTACGAATGATGCCCTTTAATTAAGTAAACATTAAAAATGGTGGTACTTTGATACTGCAGGACAAATGCACTATGGACTGAATATATTTTGTGTTTTAGGGAAGATTTCAATCTAAATATATATTTAAATAAAATTAATTAATTTTGTAATTTGAAATTCAGGTAATTATTAAAATTAAATTACTTCTCCGCATAAATAACGGGGACAATGTGTCTTATAATCTTCAATTTGGTGGTTGTTTTCCAGTATCCACAAGGTCTATGGCCTCAAAGACACAGGTGGGGTTTGTTGGTCTGGGAAATATGGGAAACCCAATGGCGAAGAACTTGCTGAAGCATGGATACCCAGTCATTGCTACCGATGTGTTCCCAGAGTCCTGCAAGGAAGTGCAAGAGCTGGGTGCTCAGGTAGTCTAAGCTGAATGTTCGCGCATCTTTGTGTTAAAAAAATTAAATGATTGTACATCTTGTAACACTTTTGTTTTGTTTTGTGTATGTGCCTGTTTGTTTTTGGGGTCTTTATTCCTCAGATTGTGGATAATCCGGCTGAGGTAGCAGAGAAGGCTGATCGTATTATAACAATGCTCCCCTCTAGTCCCAATGTCATCGACGTTTACACCGGACCCAATGGCATTCTTAAGTACTATTTTTGCTTCTCTTTGAATATGTGCTGCATGTCATGCTCCCTTATCTCTTATCTCAGATTTATCTAAACTTATTGAACCTTTATCAACAGAAAGGTAAAGAAAGGCTCCCTACTCATTGACTCCAGCACTATTGACCCAGCTGTGTCAAAAGAAATGGCTGCTGATGCTGAGAAGATGGGGGCCGTTTTTATGGACGCACCTGTATCAGGAGGTAAGTTTAATATTTTATTTAGTATTAGTTTTATTATTTTCACCTGTGTTTTTCAAACATATTACAGTTAAGTACTTTGATTATTTGATAAACAATTTTTATTTGATTTGAATAGATTTTTGTTTCCCTGGATAGATGTATTTTGGTTCAGCTTTATAGTATTTGTGAAATTGCTGGCTTCCCATTAAATTACTGTGTAGGACAAAGTAATTTAAGGGTATTAATAACCTGTCCTTATATCTTAATACTCCTGAGGACATTCTTCTGATAGCAATGAGAGACTGATGCATTGCAGCTTTTCTTTCATGTAGGCTAACAATGGTAGATGGTTAACAACCATGGACAAGGTCAAATGCTATGAAAAGGTATTTGCCCTTCCTGGTTGTTCTTTTTTTTTTCCATAGTGGTTTCATGCTGCAGATCATCAAACAAACTTAAATATTAGATAAAGATAACTGGATTAAAATAATTAAATACAAAATGCAGTTATTTGTATTTTTTAAATAATGATTTCTTTATTAAGGGGGAACAAAGCTATTTAAACTTACCAGTGGTATGATCTAAAAAAAACTCAAGGACAGCTGAGAAACAGAGTTAATGACATCAATAAGTCTGCAAAGGGTTACAAAGCCAATTGTAATGCTTTGGGACTCCAGTGAAACATGGTGTGAGCCGTTATCCACAAATGGAAACATCGTGGAACAGTAGGGAACCTTGCCAGGAGTGGCCGGCCTACCAAAATGACTCCAGGAGGTCATCCAGGAGGTCACTAAAAGAACCCAGAACATTATCTAAAGAACTGGAGAAGTCAGAGTTCATGATTCAACGATAAGAAAGAGACTGAACAAAAATATCATTCATCGGCAAGTACCAAGGGGAAAACACTGCTGACCAAGAAGAACACAAAGGCTCATCTCACATTTGCCAAAAAATATCTTGATGATCATCAAGACTTTTGGGGAAATTATTCTGTGGATTGATAAAACAAAAACTAACCTTTCTGGAGGGTTTGTGTCCCATTACATCTGGAGTAAAACTAACACATTTCATAAAAATAACATCATGCCAGTCAAACATGGTGGTGGTAGTATGATGGTGTGGAGCTCCTTTGCTGCTTCAGGACCTGAACGGTTTGCCATAATTGATGGAATGTTAAAGTCTGCTCTCTACCAGAAAATCCCGAAGAAGAATGGTTGGCCTTTAGTTTGTGGCCTTAAGCTCAAATGTACTTGGATTGTGCTGCAGGACGTTGATCCAAAACACAACAGTCCACCAAGTCCACCTCTTAATGGCTCAAAAAAATAAAGAAGAAGGTTGTGATGTGACCTAACAAAGTCTGGACTTAAAACCATTCTTTCCCCTTAATAAATGAATAATTTTAAAAACTGCATTTTGTAGTTACTAAGCTTATCTTTGTCTAATATTAAATTTTGTTTGCCACACTGACATGTTTCAGATCAATGTAAAAAAACAAAAAAGTCAGGAAGTGGTCGAGCACAGCACTGGATATGCAAGTAACTCCTCCAAGCCAAAAGCTGAGACTTCTGACTACTCCAGTATTCAGTTTCTATGTCAGTGACAGGGGATTCATTCCC